TTTGTCTGCGTTTTTGTGCACGTGCATTTTGTGACTGTCACTGGAAGTTCATGGTTAACGTTCTGGCATTTCCCTCTAAGTTTGATATAAACACAGATTCAGGAAAAAGAGGGGAAGTGTTAGTTTTCATCCTTTAAACTCAAAAATAGGACTTAGTCTTTGTTACACTATCAGCCAAGGACTTTATCGACCACGGCATTGAAAGTTGGTTTGAAATTTCCACATCCATTCCTTCAAACTTCCCTCTGTACGTTTCCTTTTTACAACCACAGTGTATTTAACATGTCAAGGTTTGTGGTTCTTGTAGATTTTACTCTGCTTTCCTCCGTCGGGGGGGCTGCTGCTGCTGCTGAATTAAGATTTCTCCCTGTCGCTCTAAAACAAATTTCTCTCGAGGAGGTTTGTGCAACTTAATGAGGCATCGCTAATGCTATTGGAGGCCGCGTCACTCCCTGCGCCGCACAGTCCGGCTATTGATTCTGGCTCCAGACCCTCTCCAAAGTCCTAATCAGGTTCTCCAGTTCAACTTTTCAGGCCCATTGTGGCTCGGTGTCACCTCAGGTCAGTAGTTATTAGCGGCGACTGAAAACAGTTTCTTTAACTACTCAGGACCGGACCAAATGAAACGCAGGAGGAACTTGGAGAAGAGGGGATTATTGGTTAAGTCCAGCACTGGCCAGAGTGTGACATGGTTCAGTAATGAGGGATGGGGCTGCTGCTCTTAGTTTCTTCTCTCCTCATTGTTACTAAGAAGAGACTTTTAATATCACTGCTGCATTGACACATTGTCCAACAGTTGGTTTGGATGGCCGTGGCGTGCCGACTCGACGCTCAGTCCCACGGACGCAATGCGGCCCGCCTAATTTCACGGGATGAGGGTGATCCGAGCCATATGTGAATATGGTTCATTTCATACTCTTCTTTCATGTGCATCTTTGCAAAGTCATCAGAGAGGAGAGGCTGTTTTATGTCTTTGAGAGCTCAATCCCTCAGTAAACGCCCGCCGATGGGGATTTTAGGGAGGTCACTTAAAAGCAGAGTTAAAGACCGCCTCGCTTTTTGGATCAGAGGGTCCTGCATTTTATCAGTTGGCTGGAAAATCACCACAACACGAACATCTAAACTTCTTGAGTGATAAAATCAGACTTGTTTTGGGGGTTTTTAATACATATGGGACTTGCTGAGTTAAGGGCAGAGGTTGAAGAATCAAATAGAGAAAGCTGGTCCTTCTTTGTGGTCAGGCACTTCCAAACCTAAATCATAACTTTGATCAGTTCAGCTGTATTTTGCTTTTTTATGTTTAGGTTCTTTTTAAGAGCTACAATTCATGATTATCATTTTTATTAGTGAATCTGCAGATAAAAAAAATAGAGAAAAATGTCGGTCAGTTTTTCCCAGAGTGCAAACTGATGTCTTTAAATGTTATTTTGTTCAATCAACAGTCCTAAAACACAAAGAAATTAAGTTTCCAACAATAAAAAACGAAGAAAAGCAGTTAAATATCACATTGGAGCAGCCACACGATTAATAGATTATCAAAATATCTGCTGGTTATTGTTGTTGACTAACTTTAAACGTCATTAAATACAGAAGTTTGGCCTGTTTTATAACACAGAACCACTTGAAAAAATCTAATTTGGCACCAAATCTCCAATATTGTATTTGTTCTAATATTAATGATACACAGCCCGGTGAATTAAGCAGGTAGAGCTTTTGATTTTTAATTACAGTCCTGCCGAATATTAAACCAAAAAAACTCTCCCTGGTTTTTATTCGTGCACTCCTGGTTCTTTTCATCCACATTGGATAAAACTGTCCAGCTGATAATGTGTGTCACTTTTTGAGTCAAAGCTCATATTCATCAGAAATTAATTAAAAGTTGATAGATGTTTGTAATGGCTTCCTTCCCTCTGAAACTACAGGAAAGTATTTTCAGAGATTACCTGAAAAATCTGACATAGTAGAGTTTTATTTTGTGCTTCCTGATCAAAGATTAAGTGTTTAAACTGCATCAACATCTTAAGGGATGTTTGAATTTCCACTGCAGGTACTTCTTCTCCCAAGGTCTTTGTATCCACTTCAGACAGAAACAGCGCTCTTAAAAATAAATGTATTGATTTAAGACCTTGTTAAGAATGTACTTAAACAGGTTTGATGTGTTGGTGTCTCCAGGCAGCAGCAGCAGCAGCCGTATGGGGGCAGCAGGGGTCACGGCTGGGATCGGGCCACGCAGATGCAGCAGTCAGCGTATCAGCAGAACGTGAACCGCGGAGGGACAGCAGCAGGAAGCTACCAGCAGCACTACGATAACCGCAGAGACGACTGGCGCGATCGCAGGAATGATCGGAGGGACGATCGGAGAGACAACCGGGGGCAACAGCATCAGGTAAACACTTAAAATCTGTCAGTGAGATTTCACTTAAAAAACATGATTTGTATGCTGACAAGTTGTGGGCGGAGTCACAGTTTCATCTTCAACATGTTGTCTTTGCTAGCAGAGACTAGAAAGGCTGATTACACAACTTAAAATCTAAAAACTTTTAATTTCTGTCATCTTATTAATAAAAGTTGTAAAGAGCTGAAGTTTTGTATCCAGGCAGTTTGGATTTCCCAGTCAGAGCTACAATTCCTGAAATCTGATTGGCTGTTGATGGTTGATGATGCTGAACCAGTCCTCCCAGTTCACTCAACTTGTTCTGAAATGAATGAAACTCCTTTGAGATAATCTTGTCATTCGTTATGCTAGTGTGAATTTTTAGGAGCATTTTTGTTTGTGATATTCAATTTCAGTCCTGCTTTAATTTTTTTTTTTTTTCTTTACATTTAAATAGACATTTATTCTCCAGAATAACATCATGCAAAGTTGGTTTTAAACTTTTTTAGATGTCTTGATTCTTTTTTGATAGATTTACTACTAGTATTTTCCATATTATTTCTGTTATTGATTTATCTGTTGGTTACTTATTCAATTAATCAATTAATTGTCTGTAAAATATCAGCAGATTATTAAAAAGTGTATAAAAAAGTGCTTATTTTGACAGTCTAAAACCCAAAAGATGCTGAATTTATAACAAGTATGTAAAACCGTATCAAACTGTTAAATGTTTTTGCATCATAAATTACTTCAATTATGATTTACTTATAGTCAATGAACTAATTGATTAATCAACTATTTTTTTTCTACTCTATTATCCATTTTTTTTTTATATATAGATACTGTTAAATCTGAATAATTTATGTACTTTTCAAGGTGTTTCAAAAAGCATGTTACATTCATGAGACAATTAAACTCACTGAAACACGTTAAACTGAAAATGAATGAATTGCACATGCTTACTGTGCTCTGATTGGTCATCAGCTTTCTGTTCTGAAGAAGTGTTTTCCCATTTGGACATTGCGTCTGCAGTTTCTCTCTCAAAGTTTTCTGCTTTGTTTAAAAGTTTCAAATGTACTGACAAGACTTTAGAGGAAGTTCAGTGTTTAAAAAAAACAAATTAAAATGTTTTTGTTTGGTTTATTTGGCTAAAAGTGTTTGTGATCAACCAGCGATTTTTAGTCAGTGGGAGAGCAATATTTAAGGGTCAGTTCACACACAAAATGTAACTCCTCTACATAAGTGTCCATACAGTTTTGACTTTATGACTCTGTCTGAGGTTTCTGCCATCACCAAAAAGTAATGGAGGTGAATGGAATTTAGTTTGTGACAGTCAGAAAAATTTAAACTTACATTTAAAGATTCAGCAGCAACTAATCTGAATATCCTACATACCTCACTGTCTGTGGTTTTAATTAGCACCATTTCCTCATTAGAGAATTAAACTGGCCCTTTGATAAAGTTGTTCCAATGGACAAAATAAAACATAAAAAAGAAGGTGCCAAGTTTGACAAAAGTGTTTTCATTTTTTTGAATTGTGGTGGTTTATAAAATTAATTTAACACTTTACATAAAACCTTACATTCAATCACAATTAAAACCCTAAATTTAGCCATTTCTTTTCCTTAAGAAAAATATAATTTAAAGAAACATATAAATTGAATTAATTAAATTACACTGAGTAGCTGCCAAATGGACTTGCCTCGAACTGTTTTATTGGTATTGTTAGCCTTTGTAGTTGTGGTATTTAAATTGTGCCTCTTTTTAAAAGCAGAACTTGTTGTAACTTAATTTTTTGTGTGTGTTTCAGGGCTATGGCTCCAGCAGAGGTTACCCTCCTCCTCCTCCATCCAGAAGATACAACTGGAATTAAACTCAAAGTAATGTTGGACTTTGGGACTTTCAGGGTGGGCGACTCTTTGTAGGGGAGACATGTCATGTTTTTTCATTTTATTGTCTTCTTGTACATTTTTTTTCCTTTTTATTCGACTTATGAAAAAAAAAAACGTATTGTAACTTGTGATTTTTAAGACAAATGGCCTGTAAAACTTGTAAAATACAAGTGAGTCAAGGACAAAGTGTCCCGTTGTGCTTATTTTTTGAGATGGATCTCTCCAAAGTGTTTCATGTGTTTAGAAAAATTAACAAAAAACATGTAAAATAAAAGTGATGTTGGGGTTATGTTTGTCTAACAGGAATCTCCTCTATAAAATAGACTTTAAAATGTACATTTTAAATTTTACTTAAACAGCAAAAACACTTAAAAAGTCGCGTGTTTTTTTGAGTACAACTCCCAATAGAATAAAGATTTCTTCACAATCTCAAAGAGGTATTTGAGATTAAACCGCAGCACATTTAACTGCAGATCATCTGAAATATTTTCTGGTGAATATTCCGGTATATTTAAGCGTCACGGTGGCGGTCCAAACCTCGTTTATATCCACATTTCCGCCTGACTCCACCGCTGCTGAAAATTAAAATTGGTGCTGCTCCAAAGATACATTTTAAAAACACTGAGAACTACTTCTTTTTTTTTTTTGCTTCAGGCTCCACAAAAAAAAAACATTGAAATGTCCAAAATGAAAATATTATTTATTTAATACTGGAAACAAATTGTGACAAAGAATATTTACTGACTTTACTTCCAATGAAAATATTTCTCAATTCGTTTAATACGAACCAAGATACGGCTGGTATACTTCCGCCCGGGATTATTTCTCAAACCGGCCTCTATTGCTTCATTTTGTATTAACTTCATATATAAACCTGCAATAATTTAATTTGTCGTGGCAAGCACAGTGCGCGTGCCTCATCCTGAATCTCCACAAATTAGATTTTATGGTTTAAATGCAGCAGCAGTCATATCTGTCAGTTACCAGAAAAAAAGAAAGACTTAACAAATATTTGTTTTGAAGAGGCGAAAATACATTATGAACATTCAGACCACGTTCAAGGATCTAATATACAGTTTATTTTTGCACCTTATTGCTCAAAACCACTCAGTGTCTTTTGAGTCCCTGTGTGCATAAAGGAAGGAACTTTACGCACGGAAAGAAAAAGAGTCTGGTGCTTGTTTCTGTCCTCCAGCCGGTTCATCCCAAAAATCCAACCTAGGATTGATGCCCCGCAGGCCCGCTCCCGTCTGTCCTCCTCCCGGTATCCCTACCAAGTTCTCCCGTACAGTAAATTGGAGCCGATCATGCTGTTTGTGTACTCGATTAGCGCCGCGTCCGTCTGCGTCATGTTGATCTGACCGTGCAGTCCCATCGGCGGACTTGGAGACAAATCCTCCAGCTCCTCCGTGGATGACAGCTGGTTCACCTGCTGCTGCTGTTGTTGTTGCTGTGGGGTCGCAGTCATCGCATCCCCCGAGCTGCTCTGTCGGTTTCCGGTCTGGTTGGAGCCGCTGGAGTCGTTCCGGCACCCCTTACCGTTCTTGGAGAGCACCGGGGACACTGAGGAGGAGCGGTGAGTCGTCGTGCACAGACCTCCACCGCTTCCTCCTCCTCCGCCACCACCGCCTCCGTCCTGCTGCGCGACCTTGTCCTTGGCCTGTCGCTTCAGCTTGTAGCGGTGGTTCTGGAACCAGATCTTGACCTGGTTCGGGGTGAGGTGGATCAGTCCCGCCAGGTGTTCCCTCTCCGGGGCGGACAGGTACTTCTGCTGCTTGAAGCGCCGCTCCAGCTCGTACACCTGCGCCTGGGAAAAGAGCACCCGCCGCTTCCTCCGCGGCGCGGCGTGCAGCGTCACCATGGACTTGCCGGTCGAGTCCATCCCGGCCAAGCTGCCCACCATCCCGGACATGTTCATCCCGGCGGAGGGGCCCATGAATCTGGAAACTTAGCCAAGAAATAATCAACGTTTAAATGTAATTAAAAACAATGATAATGATTAAAAAAAGGAGCTCATTGTTTAATTTAGCTTAAAAAAACCTAATTACTCACATCCTAAAATATATCAGACATTTTGATGTTGTAGTAAAATACCAATTAATTAAATGTCTTGTCAAAAATACATTTTAGAAATGAAGTTATGTTAAATTTAAAAATTAAATAAGCCAAAAATTTACTGGGGAAAACAAGTAAACATTGGCGTTGAGCTTATACTTAAATTCAAGATTATATCCCACTATCAAAGCAAAAATATAAGCTATTTATTATTATAACAGTTTTATATGAATGTTTATGTAAAGAGGTAGAAGATTTAAAGCAATTAAAGTCTATATGGAGGGCCATAAAGAGTAAGTGGTCACCATATGATGATTAAAAATGTTATTAGCATTATAGCGCCACAGATACGTTAAATAACTGTAAACTTTGAACATTAAAGTGTTTAAAAGTCACTAAACTGGATTCTGAGAAGGCCCATTTGAAGTCCTAATACAGGGAGATAATTGTAAAAAAAATTAGGAGCCACAAAATATTCAATAAAACGTCACTTCAAACACTTTTTAGTTCAGACAAATTTTAGGAACATTTTTCCACCGTGCGTAAAAGCAGCAGGCCGGAGTGCCCAGGTCACACTGAAAACTTTCAAACTTCTCAGGTTATGAAAACAAACTTTTGATTAAAGCTGCTCTTACTTGTCGGGTATCTGGGCTCCGGGTTGCTGTACCACGCCGCTGCCGCCCCTCCGCCCCTCACCGTCTCCTGGTAGGACGGCAAGTCTCCGACATTCCCGATGCCGCCGTTGCAGAACCCTCCGACGGCCCCGGAGAACTGCGGCACCCCGTGGGGCACATGATAGGGCCCGCCGGGTCCCAGAGCGGCGGCTGCTGCTGCTGCGCTGGCCGAGGCTGAGGAAGAGGAGGAGGATGAGGATGAAGAGGAGGACAGGTGGTGATGGTGATGGTGGTGATGATGGTGATGGAGATGAGGCGGCTGATGCTGCTGCTGCGCCTGGTGGTGCTGATGGTGCTGCATACCGGGCTGGGAGACTTGCGGCTGCCTGTAGGCGCCCAGCTGGGACCCGAGGCTCCCCGCTGCGGGATCCATACCTCCAAACCTCCGGTAGCTGTCCTCCATCGGGCTCAAAATGTCGTTGACTGAGAAGGGGGTGGAGTGCTTTGGGCTGAAGGACATGGTGCGGACACCCCGTGCTGTGGCTGGATGTGGTCGGGTCTGTCCGGCGGCTCTGTGCCTGCGTCCCCCTCCCTCCCTCCGGCTTCTTGCTTCTTGTGTCTCCCTGGGAAGAAGTCCAGCTGATCGGCTGCAGGAGGAGACGAGTTGCCCTTATCCCGCCGGACTCAGACTCCAACACATGGAGGGGCGGAGCGACGCGGACACAGCAGCCAACAATGGCAATTGACATTAGAGAGGTAAGTGGAGAAAATGGTTTGGACCTACTTTCTTCTTCTGCTGATGCTGTTTGCTTTATGAGGTTTGACCCAAACAAGAACGCGGAGGCACAAATTCCTTTAAAGTCACAGATGAGCTTCACTTTTACACGAATTTACTTTGTTATTAAATACTGAAATAATTATCCCATTTAATATTACTCATAAACAACGATGCAAACTAAACTGGTCGAGCTGGAATCACGTCACTGAACATGCTGTCAGGCTGCCAACCGGTACCTTATGATTATTGTTGATATTAGAATAATATCAGCAGCTGTAAAAGATACACAGGCCTGTTTTATTCACATTTATATTTAAAGTATTCACATATTGGGAATCCTCACTGTCTAGATTCTCAAATTAAGTTCAAAGTGTATGTGCGTGTTCAGGTCTCTTGTCTCAGTTTCATTTCCAATTACGCACGAATGGATCTAAATGCAAGCTGCAACACGGAAACTCACTTTACACAAAGTTTACGTTTAATTTCCATTCATAAAAATACAGTTTAATGCCGGATGCTGATGAAATGAATGGTTTGTTTAAAGTATTTGATTGAACCCATTATTTGCAGATAGATGTTCAAACACCGTGTCAGAGTTATTTTCTGTAAATTAAACATTTGTAACCATCTGAATTTTAACCATCAACTTTAACAATAAGACTCAGTAACTCATTTAATTCTTGAACCGGAAATAGAAAGTTTATTTTTTTCCTTTACTAATTATAAAGATAAATGTTGTAAAAACATTTTTAATTCGACTTTGTTATTATCCTGAATTTTATGCTTCCAAGTGCCATTTTTTACAGTGAATTATTGCTTTTTTATCACGACAATAAGTATTTTATCATTTCTGACAGCCATATTAAACATCTAGATGTATTTAGAAATATTTATGTTGCCATTTTATTGCTAGTAAAGCATATAGTTGTGAAACAAAACACTTTATAATGTTTAATTTAACTGCATCGTACTATTCATTTGTGTCCGTTTTGTTCAGCTTATTTTATTATGTTTATGATAATTCACTATAAATGTTGTACACTTCTTTTTTTTTGTTTTTGTTTAAGCAGCTTATGTCTGTCTGATTCTAACAAAAGTTTAAATTGACTCAACATTGTGAAATTAAAAAAGTAATATCTTTGAGATTTTTTTGACTTTTGGAAGATTTCAAACCAGCAAGTTCTTTTTTTAAATTATTATCACTTATTGATTTATAGAATATTATCCGGATGGAGCTACAAGTCTGAGCCACAGAGAAAATAAATTAATTATGTTTTAAAACGTGTTACATAAATTAAAGTAAAATCCATACATTTCGAAATTCAGTTATATCCCATATTTTCTAACCTTTTTTTCCTGCTGTTTTAAACTCTAATAATTAAATTAATTACTGTAATAATTTAATAAATGGTTTTCCTTCTCCTGCCTGTATTAGGCTATATGAGTATCCAGCTGCATATATTCCCCTGCAGGTTCCTCTGTAACCATTAATGAAAATGCACCTTTAAAAAGTGCAGCTGTAGTTCAGCTCAGTGTCAACAGTCCGAGCAGCCAATCACCTGCTGACCTGCTGCGTCACGTCACCTCACGTGCTCTTTGTAGTTTTCCGGCGGCGGATTAAAAACGACTCTTCGCTTTTTGCTCTCCGGTGAACCGCTCATCTGCAGGAGGGACCGGGACCACACCGGAGCTTCACAGCCGGGCTCAGAGCTGCTGCTGCGGCCGGTGAGAGAGGTAACCCGCCGGGAGCGGGCGGACCGGAAACACCGGAGAGTAAACAGCTGTATGGAGTTAATGTGATGCTAATGGTGTTTACAGATGTTTACTGTGGCAGCTGTTTAATCCTGTAGGCATCTTATTAGGAGTTAGCGGGGAATTAATTACAGATGAAAGGCCTTTAATTAGCTTTTATCACTATGTCTCAACATTCAATATTATAATGCTTCTGGTTTGCTACTCTAAAGCTAATGACTTTATGGCGACTTACTGCCTTTTTAACTGTTACAATAATAATATCTCCACAGTGACTTACAGTATAATTTCCTTATGGTAGTTTATAATGAGTTTAAGGTGAATTAATTCTGCTAAAAGACGTTTTTAACTCTTGTAATATTTATAATGATGTCACTTAAACATTGCTAAAGGGACATCCTGTTACCTCTGAAGTCTATGATACAGATTTGTAATGTCCCTCTGCTACTGTTTAATGACTTTATGGCAACTTAAAGAGACTTTTTACAAAAATTAGACATCCATATGGGACCTCTAATATGTTTGAAGTAGTTTCTGGTGAGTTTAAGGTGAATACAGTACAGCAAAATACTAAAAGGTGTTTTTATATTTTATAATACTTTAATATATAGGAACTATAAAGTTACTTTATGGTCTTTCTAGTGTTATCACTGCAGTATTTTACATGTAGAATGTCTATTAGATCCTTTCTGATGAGTTAATGGTGAATTAATTACAGCTGCAAGGTGTTTTAATTCCTATTAGTATGCTTTATGATAACATTATAGGGACTATGTTGCCTCCGGTACTCTAAAGTTTCAAATGTTACCTCAGTATTGTACAGATTTAAATGCGACTGTTTCATGATTTGAATGATGGTATATTATTACAATGTTCCTTGAAGTTTTTAAAACGTGTCTGTGGTAGTTTATCAGTTTAAGGTAATTTTTTTAATTTAAAGGTGTACAGAGTATGTTTTGATATCACTATGACATTACAGAATGACTGATGTCTGGTACTCAACAGATTTATATAGATTAATAATGCATCGCTGCTGCTAACGTCTTTATGGCAACTTAAATGATATTTTTTTTATAATAATATTATAACATCACCACAGGGACCTTTGACAGTTAATAATGAGTTTAAGATGAATTATTTATACTGAAGGAAGTTTAAACTTTTATCATTTATCCTATTATATTATTATATTGTATTATATTACTTACCCTGCACTTTTAATATACACTACTGTATACACTACTGTAGGACAAATATTATAGGCCTAATATTACAGTGACTTAATGTTACATTTTATTTATTTATTTATATTTGTATAAAATATGGTATAAATAAGTGTTATTACCTAATGATTAATTAGCTATCACTATAATTCAGAGAGTGTCTAGATAATTTATTGAGAGTTTAACTCGTATGTTTAGGTATTATTCTTTATTTATTATTCTTATTCTCACAGATTTGGAGGTTTGTGGTTCTCTGTAGAAAGTTTAGGTTATATAATATCATACAAAATATTCCCAGGTATCAAGGCAGACTACTAGGTGTAGTGAGTTATAGTGAGAAATCAGGCCTTATAGTATTATTTATTTATTTATTGGGAATTTGGAGGTTTTAGCAACCTGGTGGGTGTTTACATTGTTCAGTTTCAAAACTATTGTGTTTTATAAGCTGATTCCAGCACCTTTTAGACACAATATGCCTAAGTGTTACTAAGACCAACAGCAAATATTTTAAAAAAATTCTTAAGCATTTTTTTCCCCAGACGTATTTATTGCAATATAGAGACAGCTTTTTACACCTTCATGATCAAGAGCACAGTTTATAGAAACTATAACTGAACAGTTAACTGATAAAGAGAACATGAAATTCCAAATAATAAAAAATAAATTGGAGATCTTTTGCAGGTGTATTTGTAGTTTACTTTTATTCAGACAGAGCTGTTGGTCACTTAGATGTTGCTTAAGCCTTCTTCCTGTTTTCAAAGTCTCTATTTAATTCCAAGGTTTCCCTGCAGACAGAAGTACCAAGATTCTGGACCTCCAGGGTTTTGTAGAACATATTCATATCTGTAAATAAGAGTGAGCAGAAAAAACAGAACCACTGACGTCTTTCAGGTCTGAAGCTTCTTGTCTCGACTGTGAAGCTGTGTGTCATCAGGCTCTGGAGGTGACTGAACTTTCTGCTTCGACGTTTTCTAATCAATAAGGAAAAAATCCTGCTGTAAATCAGTGATGAAAAGCTTCCTCAGGCCTGTGAGAGTGCGGCAGCATCCTCGACCACCGACTGCTTTATAAATAAGATGCTTTAATAATTAAAAAAGAGACTCCCACACAGTGTTTATTTGCAGATTCATGCAGAAGGACCTTTAACAGCCATGAGTAAGTACACTGAGCTGCTATAATGTTTACATCTGTTGGGTTTTTGGCCCCAAAAAGAGGATTTAATGATTTTCATTTAAATATTGTAGCAATCTAAATTTCTAAGATAAAAAAAAAATGTATTAGCTTTGTTTAAAAACCCTGCAGCGCTGACAAAAATAAAACACCCGGAAACTGGATTTTTGTTGTCTTCTTGTGATAAAATTGTAAATCTGAACAGTTTCTATTCCAGAATAAAATTGAAACCCATGTTTCATGATGATCTGTTGACTTTGGTTTTATTTATTAATTTGATGACAGATTCTTGATTTTTCGTTTCGTTTTGTTCTCGTTAACCACAAAAAAAATTCCACACGAGTTCATGCTATGTGATTTTAAATGCTTTAAGCGTGTAAGAGACATCATGTTATTGATTTTGTATCAGTGTGAGAATGTTAACATTTTTAAGAACAGTAGCTTATGTTAAATATAAAGTTTGAATTTAGCTTCATGCTTATTTTTACAAACTTTATTGACAGTTTAAAGAAGCAATTGTTAAGATTTTTTTGTTTGTGTTTGAAAATGTCAAAACAATAAATATTTTATAGTATTATTAATTATTAAACTTGTTACCAGCTGAAACAACCAGAGAAGATGGCTGTGGGTGATTTTGCTGTTTTTATCACAGGGCCCCCTTGACCCATTTTATTTTTCATGATGTTCCCCAGAACTGTTGAAGTTACATACAGTATATATATGTGTGAAGTATTATTTATGATTGATAGCTTTGTGGAAATGTGTGTCCTGCAATAACCCAAAAAACCCTGTCAAAAATGTTGCATTGGTTGCTACTGTGTGTTTGTGTGTCTTTCCATCTGTCTCACTCA